TGTTCTATTGGTCTGAGTATCATTTTTTATTCTAGTACCATTCTGTTTGTGTTACTATAGCATTCTGATTTGTTCTTTTTATTCAGTATTGGCTTGGCTATTTGAGGACTTCTGTAGGTCTCATACAAATCTTAGGAGGGTTTTTCCTTCTGTGAAGAATGTCATTGATATTTTGATAGGAATTGCATTGAGTCTGTAGATCCCTTTAGATAGTATGGACATTTTAGTAATATTAATTCTTCCAATGCATAAACTTGTGATAGCTTTCTATTTTTATATCTCCTCTTCAATTTCTTTCATCAGTGTTTTATAATTTTCATTATAGAGCTCATTTGTTTCTTTGGTAAATTTTATTATTAGGATTTGTTTTTATAGATTTTATGACTAAGATTTCTTTCTTGACATTTTCTCAGCAATTTCATTATTGGTATATAACAGAGTTACTGATTTTTGTGTGTTGATTTTATATCCTGCAACCTTACTGAATTTACCATTTCTAACATTTCTTGGTGGAGTCCTTTTAGATTTTTCTATGTTATACATCATATCATCTGAAAACAGTGATATTTTTACCTCCTTTCCTATTTTAATGCCCTCTATTTCTTTCTCTTGCCTTATTACTCTGGCTAAGACTTGCAGCACTATATTGAATAACAGTGGTGAAGGTGGACATCCTTGTTTGTTCCTAATTTTAGAAGAATCAGTTTCAACTTTTTCTATGTATTATAATATTGGCTAAACAGTTTCATTTTTGTTGAGGTATTTTCCTTCTCATATAACTTGTTGAGTTTTTATTATGAAAGAATGTTCAATGTTAGCAATGCCCGTTCTGCATTTATTGAGATGATCACATGGTTTTTAATCCGTGACTCTATTTATTCTCTCTATTATTTTTATTTATTTACATATATGGAATCTTCCTTGTATTCCTAGAATGAAACTATGTTCATGGTATATAGTTTGTTTGTTTTGTACTGAGGTTTGAAACTAGGGCCGCTTTACCACTGAGCTCCAGTCTCAACCCTTTTTATTTTTTACTTTGACACAGTACTTCACTAAGTTGTTCAAGCTAACCTTGAAACAACTGTTGCCTCAGCCTCCCAGGTTGCTGAGATTATAGACTTGTACTACTGCTCCCAGAAGTGTTTGGTCTTTTTAATGTGTTGTTGAGTTTGATTTGCAAGGGTTTTGTTAAGGATTTTTGCACCTATCCTCATCAGGAACATTGGTCTATAGTTGCTTTTTGTGTGTTGTGTTCCTGTCAGATTTTAGTAGCAGGCTAATGTCAGCTTTGTAGAATGAGTTTGGTCGAGTTTCCTCCCTTTCCATTCTTTGTAATTATTTAAGAAGATTTGGATTAATTGTTTTTTAAAGGTTTGGTCAAATTAATTCAGCAATAAATTCATATAGTATTTGGCTTTTCTTTTCTTTGTTATTGGTTCAATCTCATTATTTGTCATTGGTCTGTTCAAGTTTTCTGTATCCTCATGTTTCAATTTTGTAGATTTTTGTGTCTAGGACTTTATTCATTTCCTTTATGTTTTCTTCCCTGTGAACTTCCCTCAGTACTAATTTTGCTGTATCCCATAGCTTGATATGTTTTGTTTTCATTTTCTCTCTAGGTTTCTTCATTGACTCATCCATTTCTGCTAGGGTTTCCAGTTTGTTGGCATATATAGTTGTTCCTAATGAATCTTTGTATTTCTGTGATAGCAGATATCCTTTTTCATTTCTGATTTTATTTACTTGGGTCTTCTCTCTCTTTCTCCTTCCCCTCCCCCTTTGATTAGGTTTTGTCAGTTAACTTTTAAAAACAAAAAACAAAAAAACAACACTTCTTTGTTTCATTGATCTTTAGTTTTAGGGTTTCGTTTTATTTTTTCTTTTATTTTGGTTTCTATTTTGTCTATTTCTGCTTAGATCTTTGTTATTTCTCTCTGCTAGTTTGGTTTTTTTTTTTTTTTTCCTTGCTTTTCTAGTTAGCCTAATGATACAACACAATATTGTATCATTAGGCTATTTGTAATCTTTTTTTACTTGTTTGTTGTCATAGGCAATTGTTGCTGTGTATTTCCCTTAGTAGTGTTTTTGCTATATTCCATGACTTTTGGAATATGTTGTTTTCATTCTCCATCTTGATTTCTTTATTGACCCATTGATTATTCAAGAAAACATTGCTTAAGCTGGGCATGGCCACACAAGCTTATAATTCCAGTGATTTGGAGTCTGAAGCAGGAGGATGACAAGTTGAAAGCCAGCCTCAGCAACTTAGCAAGACCCAGAGACCCCATCTCAAAAAATATTAAGGTCTGGGAGTGTTGCTCAGTGGTAAAGCCCTCTTCAGTTTGATCTCCAATAAAAGAGGGAAGAAGGTGAACTAAAATAAAACGAGAAATCAATATGAGAAATTTTAGAATTGCACAAATTTTTGGAATGGAACAGTTGTTAAATTTGTATGTATTTGTACAATTCTAAATTTCTCTTATTGATTTCTAGTTTTATTCCATTATGATTCGAGAAGGAACATTCTCTAATTTCAATTTCCTAAAAATTTTGTTGCGGTTATGTCCTAATTATGGTCTACCTGGAGAATGCTCCATGTTGTACTAATGAGAAGAATAAAAATTCTACATTGTGTTAAATATTCTGTAAATGTCTGGTAGGTCTATTTGGTATGTAATACAGTTTAACTCCAGTGGGGTTTTTGTTGGTTTGTTTAATGATCTAACCATTGATCAAAGATCAAAGTAAGTTGTTGAAATCTCTAGTTATTACTGTATTAGAGTCTCTCTCTCTCCTTTTAGATTTAATAATGTTTGTTTTATATAATTGGGTGTTCCAGTGTTAAGTACATATATATTTACATTTGTTAATTTCCTCTTGTTGAATGTATCCCTTTACCATTATATCATGACCTGTTTTGCCCCTTTTTACAGTTTTTTACTTAAAATGTACAGTTATTCTGTGCATTTTTGGTTTCTATTTGCAGTGTGTAATTTTTTTTCCATCCTTTCAGTTTCAGCCTATGAGTATCTTCACTGGTGAAGTGAGCATATCACTACATCTAGTTTTATTATCCATTCAGTTAGGCTCTATTTTTTTAACTGGAGAATTCAACCCATTGCCATTCAAGGTTATTACTGATTAGTACAAACATACTCCTATCATTTGCTTTTTTTTTTTTCCTGGTTGTAAATGTTCTTTGTTCCTTTCTCCCTCTTCCTCTTTTGTTCATCCTTCATGTTTGGTGATTTTCTGTGGTGATGAGTTTTGATTTTCTTTTATTTATCTGTTCTTTTAGTAATTTTTGTATTTTCTCATGTTTTTATGATAGTAGTTATCATCCTTTTGCTTCTAAGGTAGGACTCTCTTAAATATTTCAGGTCTAGTGATGATGAATTTCCTGTTTTTGCTTGTTTTAGAAACATTTTATTTCTTCTAAATTTCTGAATGATAGCTTTTCTGGTCAGAGTATTCTTGGTTGGCAGGTTTGGTTTTGTTTGTTTTCCTTACAGGAATTTGAATACTTCATCCATTTGAAATTTCGTCCATTTTCTCTCGGCCCTTCAGATTTCTGTTGAGAAGTCTGCTATTAGTTTCATGGGGATTCCCTTCTATGAGACTTGACACTTTTGTTGTTTTTAGAGTTTTCTCTTTGTCTTATGCTTCCAACAGTTTAACTATAATATGCCTTAGAGAACATTTTTATTGATTGAACTTTTCAGGGTCTTTTGATCTTTCTGGACCTGGATGTTAATATCTTCCCCAAGATTTCGAAAGTTTTTAGGAGTTCATTGAATAGATTTTCTTTGCCTTTCCCCTTCTGTATTCTTTTCTGGGACTCCCCAAAAGCAAAAAGTTACTCACTTAATGGAGTCATGTCAGTCCCGTCCCAGGCTTTCTTTAATTTTTTTTTTTTTTTTAATTCCTGGTCAGGCAATTCTTCAGTTTCCTTCTCTTTGGGTTTGTTGCTAAAGAGTTTAGTTTAGGCTTCTTGTATCCCTAAGTTGATAACTTATCCATTGGCAATCATTTGCCTTTACCACTTTTATAGGGTGGCTTTCATTGTAACAAACTTTCTCCTGGTAATGTGTCCTAGGGTGTTGGTTTGATAGGCTGTGTTGGCTTTGGCTGCTTTAGTGTAGTGTCTGTGTTTCTGATTCAGTTATAATCAACATTGGTGATGTCTGTGTGTACCTCAGTGGCCTAGGCTACAGAGATATAGAACTGTACTATTAGCTGGGATGCAGCTTTCATAGATATGGTAGGTTTGCTGCCAGTTCTGGGTGTAATGCACTTAGCTACAGATACAGGACACCTGTCAGTTTCCAAGGGTTGCATGAGGGGAACCACCCTGCCAGGCCTGGGCAGGTGAGGCACAACTGGTGTGGCAGCAGAGGCATGCTACTCATCAGTTCCCAAGGGCTCTGGGAGGGTGGGGGTGCTATAGTATACCCAAGTGGTTGTGACACAGTGGATCCAGTAGTGAGGTAGGGTGCCTGTCAGTGTCTGAGAGCTACTTGGAAGCCAGGCCACACCAGTGGGCCAGAAGAGGTACTAATCAGGTCACCTCACAAGGTCTCTGGGGTCTGCTTCTAGAGTCAGTGTGCCGAGGTTCTGTGAACAGGCTGCCCAGCTGCTCTTCAGATTCCTTTGCCTGCTGAGCTACTCAGAGCTGGATACTTGACTACTTCCTCAGTGGTGGGTGGCTTGGCAAGACACACCTGAGTGTTTTACCTAGGATTCTACACGCCAACTCTCTTGGGGAGGAAGGCCTAGTTGTTGCCCCATGATTTTTTAAATTTTTATTTCTCATTTACTTTATTATGACATAAATAATGATGAAATATTTCCCAGTCTTTATGTATTCTATTTTACTTAAATTCATTTCTTTTCTTCTTTTCATATAGGTCAGTACTTAAGAATACAACATAATTTCTGGACTTTATTAAAGAGAATAAAATGCTGATTTCAGCACTTGTACTTTTGTTCTATTTCAGATTTGGTGTGAAGAAGAAGCCAATTTATATTAATGTCATAAGGGATCCTATTGAGAGGCTAGTTTCTTATTATTACTTTCTGAGATTTGGAGATGATTATAGACCGGGATTAAGGAGACGAAAACAAGGAGACAAAAAGGTAATACTTAGTTTTTAAGACATTATCATACAGATAATTGTTTATTAAATGCAATGGCTGATGCTGTTTTTAAATTTTTTGTTGTTCCTGATAATAAATGTACTGTTTGCTACTGTGGAAATTTTGAAAGGAACTCCAAAGTATATAGCAGCAGAAGTAAAAGTATGTATGTAGCTAATATCTTGAAATATGCATAATTTCTTGTGATTTAAAAAAAATATTTTTCTTGGCCTAGTACTGAATATCCACTTTATTATAGTCCTTTTAATAATTTTCCAGGGCTGGGATGTAGCTCAATGTTAGAATACTGTTGAGAGCCGCAGCTGAAGCGGCCCCAGCAAACTTCCAGCTGATTGGCTCCTCTGCGGTGAGGCTCATTGGGCTGTTTCCCCGCCCTTTCAGACCACGGAGCTGCTCATTGGGGGACTCTTTTGGCTCCGCCACTGACCCAGCCAATCTGGGAGGATACAAAATGCCACGACACCAAGGCAATTGACGGCTCCCTTTGGAATAATTGTACCACTGATGACATCATCAGCAAAAATACCCCTGCACTACCACAAGTCACTGCACCAACAGATAGTTCACAGTGCATGCAAGTGATACATAGTCCAGGCAAGTTCTGCAAGCAGTTCAAAGCAGAGGAATTCATTAATATGTCCATTTCCTCCCAAAGCAAATGGACTTTTTGATTGAGCATCACTTGTTGAGTTACATTATTCATTGATTCATCAGTTTATACAGTTTGTTGTGATAGCTACTGCAGAAGCTGTAGTTTGGTTTTATCTTTGTCTTCACCGGCACTGGGATGAAGATAGGAATTCTGGCAATGATGGCTAAAGAAAAAATTATGTAACATTCCAGCAGGCACTAAAAGAAAGGAATTTTCTGAACAATTTACATTATCCTGAACAGAATTATGAAATATAATGAAAAGCAAAGGTGAAAGTAAACAAACAGATCTGTTATTTATTTATTTATTTATTTTTAGAGAGAGGTGAGAGAGAGAGAGAATTTTTTAATATTTATTTTTTTTAGTTTTTGGCGGATACAACATCTTTGTTTGTATGTGGTGCTGAGGATTGAACCTGGGCCGCATGCCAGGCGAGCGCGTTACTGCTTTAGCCACATCCGCAGCCCCAGATCTGTTATTTAAATGCCGCAGTCTGGCTGGGCATAATTCAGGAGCCACTTATCAAGCAGGAACAAACTTTATTTTTAGAATGCACACTGCACCCCAGGAGCTCTCCAGGAATTCCCCGAGAGTCCAACCACCACCTCTGGCCTTCCAAGGAGCACCTCAACCAGCGTCTTTCCGCTCTTCAGTCCGATTGGCTGGGTCGTGTGGGCGGAGCCAAAAGTCCCCCAGCGAGCAGCTCCATGGTCTGAATGGGCGGGGAAACAGCCGAATCAGCCTCACTGCAGAGGAGCCAATCAGCTGGAAGTTTGCATGTGTGAATGTGTGAGGTCCTTGTCCAGCCCTGGGGTGGGGGGAAAACTAGGAGACCATTAAGACCATTATAATTATTGATTAATAAGATGAGTTTTCATATATAGTTTGGTTCTCTTAGTCTTAATGATGGCAATTTATATTTACTTGTAATCATCAGGATTAGTATTTTGCTAAAGCAGCTATTCAGACAAGAAGAGAATAATGGGTGGACAAAGTTTGTATCAGGTTCAGATTTGTATTGTCTTCCATTTCAGTGCATCCTCTAGAATATCACCAGATTTATATTTCTAAGAACTATACTAATTTTTCCCTTTTCTAGCAGAATACCTTTATTGGGATCTCATTGCTCACAGAATTACCTAAGGCATAGGAAACATAATCTGATAGGATCTGAGACCTACCTCTCCTGTCTTAATTTTCCACCAGGCGCCCAGCCAACTGCTTCAACAATATGAAATGTCACCATCCTCCAAATTTATTATCAATTCATATTATTTGCACGTTATTCCTTATTTAATATGCCTTTTATTCACTCTGAAAACTCTGTTTACCTTTCAGATTTCTTAACATTTCCTCTTCCATAGTCTTTTCTATTGTACTCAAGCAGAATTAGTCATCCCTTTTAAAGTTCCCAGAGCATGCCATCTCTACTTTTTCTTCTATTTATTTATTATTATGTGGTGTTGAGGATCGAACCCAGGGCCTCACCCATGCTAGGCGAGTGCTCTACCGCTGAGCCACACACCCATCTCTACTTTTAAGCATTTGTATTATTGTCTTCCCCCAAATGTAGTGAACTTCCTGAAGCATGCATTTAATTTATCTTTGAGTCCTAGTACTTAACATGGTACCTAGTTTATATGTAAGCGCTTAATAAATGACTTAATGTGTAAATTATGCACATTTTAAACTTTAAAATGTTGTACAGGAGTGATGCTAAGTATGTTATATATAATAATCAACATGTAACAAAATTTTTTAAGTTAGGTGTTTCTTTGTCACATGATGGGGCAATATATTTTTGTTTTGTTTTCGTTTATTATGTTTTCTAGAAATTGTATTTCTTTGCTTAGTGTGAAAACATTAGGCAAAATGTACTGACTCAAACACAAATAAGTAACCAAATCTTTTTTCCCAGGGTACACCTATATTTAAGCATTAATTTTCTAAAAAAATATTATATTCTACAGAATTTTGTGAAATCTATTAACATAATTCTTTTGTGGCCTAATACTTTATAGAACTATTTTGCTATTTATTTCTAAATCTGCTTTTTAGAAATTATTGGTTTTGCTCATTTTAGTTGTTATCATTTAGTCTGTTACTCAGTAAATGTTTGTACTCATCTTTCTCCATTGATAAAAGGAGTAAGTCATGTCTGTTCCCGAATGCACCATTTGGCACTATCAGCCTTGGAATGCATGGTTGTGTGGTTGCTGTCCTATGTAGTTTAGGGGATTGAGCAATAATAATTCTTAATGAAATTAGCAATAATAACTTCCATTTATTGTATACCAAGCACTGTTTTAAGTTATTTATACATGTTTTCAAGTAGCTCACACAATTCTATGAGGTAATTGCTGTTATTATCCTCATGTTACAGTAATTTTGACACAGAAACATTATATACCTTGCCTAGTGTCATACAACTATAAGCTGGAATTTAAATTGAACCACTCTAATTTTATAGCCCATAGTTATAACGCCTCTTTTTTTTTCCCTAAAAACATTTTATGTGAAAGATGTGACAGAAATACTTTTAATATGCATGGAAATATCCAAGAAGATATTTTAACATCAAAGTTGTTGAGACTGCATGTATATAAAACATTTCTCAAAATGAAGACATACTTGAAGATAATGTAGATTAAACTGTGGCCATGATTATGTTGGAAATACAAAGTCCCTTATTTTCAAAACAGTTTGAATCTCTTCATTCCCATGAAATTGTATATTCGTACCTCAAGTGATATGCAAAGAACTATTAGGCAATATTCAGTTCATCACTCATGGCAATTATTATGTTATAAACTGTAGCATTCCAATAATTTGAACTGCTTTCTGGTTATACTGTCAAACAGTAATTTGAAACACATTTCATCTATTTATACTTAGGATAGGTTTCAGTTGGTCTCATGAGGAACAAAAGATTTGTTTTGCTGGGTGAAGTAGTACCACTTACATGCCTTAATTCCAGCTACTTGGGAGGCTGAGGCAGAAGGATTACAAGTTCAAGGCTATCCACAGCAACTTAGCCAAACTATCTTAAAATAAAAAAATAAATAAAAAGGGATGAGATATAGTTCAGGAATAGAGCATCCCTAAGTTCAATCCCCAGTACTGCCAAAAAAAAAAAACTTTTTGTTTTACTTGGGAAATTTTAAATGCTCTGTGTTTTTTTATATTTTAGAATCAGAGTTTAACCTAATTACCTAGAAAGTAGAAAGAAATAAGAGATTTGAAGGCTTTTATTGAAGAACCATATAGATTAAATTACGGTTGTCAAACTTTTGAATCTCAGAACTCCTTTTATACTCTTAAATAAAAGTATAAAGAAACTCAAAGAGCTTTGGTTTGTATAAGCTAGACCTATTGATATTTTCCAACAGCAGAGTGGAAAGCCCATTTTATGTTAACATAAATAATTTTAATTCAAATAACCATCCCCCACCATTAAAAACTAAAAATACCAGTATCATTTTACATTTACAAATCTTTTAGCATCTGGCTTGAATAGCCTGATTTTCATATCTGTTTCTGAATTCAGTCTGTTGTTATAGTCTTTTGGTTGGAGTCTATAAAGAAAATCCAACTTCATACAGATGTCATTGGAAAAGAGAGAATGTTAATAATAGCCTTTTCAGAAAATTGTAGCTATTCTTCAATATTTTAATACAAAAAAAATTAAGTTTAGTCATGGAATCTGAAACCATAGCAGTGAACTTTTTATACTCTGCTACATCAGTATTCATTGATATATGTTACACTTTGAATTATTAACCAAGCACAATTAAGTGTGGGCGATAGGAAGTATTTATCACAACAGATAACATCAAAGACGGTGTGGGAGCACTGGGGTTGAATCCAGGGCCTCGTGCATGCTAGGCAAGTGCTCTACCAGCCTCCTTTTAAATTTTATTTTGAGACAAAGTCTCACTAAGTTAATCAAGCTGGCCTTGAACTTGCAGCCCTCCTGCCTTAGCCTCCCAGGTAGCTGGCATTATGGGCATGCACCACTGCACCCAACTAGAAAAGTCTTTAAGTATTGAGAAATTATTAGGCATGTGGCAGTAAATGTGAATTTGCCAAAATTTTATTTTTTGCTTAAAATTTAACTGGGGTGTGTGTGGGGGGGGTGTGTGTATGTACAGGGATTGAATCTGGGGTGCTCTACCGCTAAGCTCCCCCCTTTTTTTTTCTGTCTTTGAGACAGGGTCTTTCTAAGTTACTCAGCCTAACTTCAAACTTGCAGTCCTCCTGGCTCAGCCTTCCAAGCTGCTGGGATTACAGGCATGCACGACTATACTTAGCCAAAAGCTATCATGGT